CCCGGCGGGCCCCCCCCCCCGTCTGGGATTAACAGCGTTATTCTCCTCTTCCCTTTCTCCTCCTAGGCTGTGGCATTGCAATGCTGATCATCTCCGTTCTGATAGCCATATATTACAATATTATTCTGTGCTACACACTTTTCTACCTTTTTGCGTCCTTTGTACCTGTGCTACCTTGGGCTTCCTGTAACAACCCATGGAACACGCCAGACTGTAAAGATAAAAACAAACTTTTGTTAGGTAAGTTGGGGCAGGATTTTATTTTATTTTATTTTATTTTATTTTATTCCTTAAAATTTTCTATTATTCTATTCTATTTATTTTTTTTAAATTTAATTTGATTTTATTTTAAACTTTCTCTCTGTGGCCGTAGTGGGTTTCCAGAGCTTTCTGGGGCTCAGGTGAGCCCCTGAGAGATGTCAGCAGAGGCTGTGAGTGCCTGCGACAGGACGAGGGTCCCAGCGCGGAGGAACCGTCGCTTCCCAAGTCACTCTGAAGTTATCTGCATCATATGGGCTCTCTCTCCCGCCTTTAATTTCAATTTTCCCTCATCAAAGATAAATGGTATTTTTCTACTATACTGCTAAAAAAAAAGGCCCAGGTTTTTGTGTGTGTGTGTTTTGTTTGTTTTTAACGGGTAAAAACTAATGCTACAGCTGGCATCCTCTGGTTCCTGTTAAGGACAACTTCTTGGGCTTTAGTGAGGCTTATTTTTAAAGAAGAAAACGAAACCCGCTTTTGCCAACGGCCCGAAACATGCATTGACCCAAAAAGTGAATACCTCCTGGCAGAGACGTCAGCAGGGCCCGCACCCCCCGGGCTGGCTGCGGCTTCCTAACCCCGCCCCGGGGCTCCTCACCTGCCCCTGCCCCCAGCGGAATGACCCCGAGACGGGGGCAGGAGGGAGGGCGGCGAGCGCTCCCCGGAGCGAACAGAAGCTTCGTCACTTCCTCAGACTTTTTACACCTTCAACATTTGGGATCAAGGGGGAAAATAATGAGACAGCCTAAGCCCCAGCTCTCTCAGACCCTTATAGCTTCTGCAAGCTAGGTGCTACAGAAATCTCTCACAGAACAGAAGTTCAAGCACTGTGTGTGCACTAATGCTTCTTATTGTAATTTTACTCCCAACCTGAGAAAAAAATACAAGTTATTTTTCTGTTTTCTTTTCTTCCTAGATTCCTGCATTATTGGTGACCACCCAAAAATACAAATCAAGAACTCTACTTTCTGTATGAGTGCCTATCCAAACTTGACTATGGTTAACTTCACCAGTGAGGGAAACAAAACTTTTGTCAGTGGAAGTGAAGAATACTTCAAGTAAGATCTTTCTTTGTTTAGAGATGTTATGTTAATCTTTCTCTAAAATCCACTGTAACAGACAACAAATAACTATTTGGAAGACTAGAAATACAATAGTTAAGGATTACAAATGATACCTATTTTTATGTATAGAAATGATGAAAGCTAAATGTCAAATGCTGGATTATTTGTATTCTGTTCCTATGGTGTTAAGCACAGCTGGGGTGTTGGCCCATGCCTGGCATTTTTATCTTCTACTGCAATGCAGATAAATAAAATAATACATGGTGAGAACCACTGGAACCTTCCAGAGAAACCGCTGAGAACGCTGAAGCAAAACAAAATACCATAGGAGTTTGCACTGAATTATTGCCTGCAGTTGCTTTCATAATTTTTTCCCTTTTTAATTCTGATTACTTTTTAAATTATTCCTAGGTACTTTGTATTGAAGATTTCGGCAGGGATTGAATATCCTGGTGAGATTAGATGGCCCTTGGCACTGTCTCTTTTCCTAGCTTGGGTGATTGTATATGCCTCCCTAGCTAAAGGAATCAAGTCATCAGGAAAAGTAAGAATAATATTTGTGATTGTACATTTGCAAGAAAGCAGTGTGCTGCTTCAAGGGAATCACACTCTTGGTTAAGGCAGTGAATTATTTTCAGTAAATGGCTAAGTATTAGTGAAATGCCTTTTTCTTGTTTGTGTTTTCATGTCTAGTAAAAAATTTAAAAAGATAATTTTGGTTTAGCATTTCTTCCCTCATCTTCAGTAACTTTAAAATTAGCCTTTGAGCTGCACTCAGCAGTTGGATGGCAAAAAGGGGCTTTCAGCAGCCTTTCCTGTTCTGTGTGGTGTCCATTAAAAATTCTGCAGTCACCTTATGTGTCACTGTCATCAGGGAAACTATGGTGTACATTAAATGTTAAGTAGCATGTTGTGAAATCAGAACAGAACTTAAGTTGGTGGCTGTGAGCAGTGAGTGTGTATCCTGTTTTCCCAAATATTTGTATGCCATTTTTCTAAAGCTCCTTGAAGTAACCCTGCTCCTTGCCCTGTGTCTCTGACATCTTACATGTTCTCTCCCTTGCCCCTCAAATCTGTGGATTTCTGCCACGCCTCCTAACTAGCAACTGTGTCAAGAGAGAGCATGTCCTCTCATTGGCATGGAAGTACAGGCACACAAACTGGTCAAGCAGCCCTCTGAGCAGAGAAATGCAGCTTTTCCTTCAGCAGCAGCGCTGGTTTGGGTGTGGGTTGTTTGCTTTTTTTTTTTTGTGAGCTCTGCAGAAATGCAATATCTGAGACTTCTCCATCGATGTCACTGCGATTAGCATGCAGGTTAAAATGTTAGATGATGCCATAGCATAAATCTAATTTATTTACAAAAAGTAGGGTGAAAAGATAAAAAAGCTGGAGCAAAATAACTAGATGTTTCCTGGGATAAAATACGCAGATAGCTATGAGTTTCCTAAGGCTGAGCAGAGGGTTCCTGATTCCAAGCCATCCCTTTGCATCTAGAAGCTAACAGCATCTGTTGGGAGATGAATTGGCAATTAGCAGAAAAGCTCAGAGTACCAGGAGAATGTTGAGATTTTTTTTCCCCTAGCTTAGTGTGCTAGGTAAAACTGTTTCATTGAAGGCCAGAGCCAAGAAACAGAAGATGCACAGGAGAATAACTTGGGTTTGTGTGTGGCAATAGAGACTTCTTAAGTGAGTCTGTGACCAAGAAAAATCTTGTGGCCTTGGTGTCAGAGATTGAAAAACCTTTATTCATGTATAGATTAGTTCAGTATATTCACTGCATAAAAATCCATTGGGATAACTTCTTGAAAAACCTCTTGAAACAGCAGAGAGAAAGTTGGGAAAGCAGTTTCAAAAGTCGCTGCAGCTCCGAGGACTCTGGTCCCTGTAAGATTCAGAGGTTGTCCTGGTTTCACTGGGACAGAATAATAGAATCTATTTCCTATTCAAGAAAGCTGTGTTTCTGAGAAGACTGCAGCACCTGATTCAGGGAGAACAAAGCTGACAAGACACTTTTTTTTGTTTCTGGCCAGCCCCGGTATGCGGGTTTCTGTAGTGCTCAAGCTCTTAAAGCAGCTTTGAGTTAGCCAGATGCAGAAGCTAGGAGGGGTGAAAGCCAGGGCAGCTGACCCAGGTTGGCCAACAGAAGTATCCATACCATAAACATCACACTCACTTTAAGCTGGAAAGTTTTCTGGAGATGGTCCCTTTTTCTTCAATGGTTATACCTCTGGAGGGTCTCATCTGTCATTCTGCTCCTGAGGCCTCCTGTTTGTTGTGACCATCACACTTTTGCTGGAGCTGTGGTGCTCACAGCACTTGACATCTGGCATTCACTGCTGGAACTGCACAGCTTATGATCACTACATGGTCTGAATATAACTTTGTGTACTTTATATTAGTATTAGTATTGATGGTAGTGTTTTATTATTATTTTATTAATTTTTTTTCCATTTGGACCCGCGGGTTTCCTTTTCTTTCTCAATTCCCCTTTTAGGTGGGTAGGGATAACTGGGTGATAGAACAACTGCCTAAACAGAGGCAAAGGGTTGATGTGAAAAAGGATTTGAAATGCTTTTAGGTAGAGGGTACAGCTTAACTGGCCACAATCTAGCCATTTTATTTGACCACAGAGAGCTCTGCTCTGTTCTAGGTAATTATTAAGACACTAAGCACACAACCTCTGTTGTGTATTTAGGTATCATGATGATTAGGTCTCTCTGGATCATTCCACTGACTGACTCTTTTTTTGTTTTTCTTTTTGCATTGGGACCATAAATATTGTCATAGTGATATGTAATTATTAAGAGGTACTAACAGTAATAAACATTCTTTAGGCTTGGTTAAATACAGAAATAAATGGGAAAAATCAGAACTCCAAGTGATGTTGAATGGCTTTGCTCATTTTATTTCCACTGAGCTGTGTTAGTTTGAGCAAGGATCAAATGTGCTATCTCCATTTAGCTGTAAATTCCTATCGTTCCTCTGCAGACTTTTGTTTCTGCTTTTTCTTCCCCTTTCTGTCTGGAACCCCAGCTCTTACCTCTGTTGCTGTTGATATTATTCCTGTCTCCAGCAGCAAGACGAGCTGTAAAAAATGTCAGCTCTGCCAGACTTTCTGGGAAATCACCTCATTGTCTTCCTAGTCCTATCCCCTGGCTATTGCCTCCGAGCCTGAGTAATTACTTTCTTCAGGCAATAATGTAGCATTTGTATGTTTTCCCCTCTCTTCTTATGGATTCAAATAAATCTTTTCTATATTTTTTTTTCCGATCTGTCCAGGTGGTGTACTTTACAGCTACATTCCCTTATGTAGTTCTTATCATCCTACTTATAAGAGGAGTAACTCTACCTGGAGCTGGAGCTGGAATCTGGTACTTCATCACGCCAAAGTGGGAAAAGCTAATTGATGCTATGGTGGGCTTATTATTGTACTTATAACTCTGCTAGGGTGAACAATTCCTACAGATTTTTAAATATCTGTTGCAAGCATTTTCTATCTGCAGAGACAAGTATTGCCATCTGTGAAAATTTGTTCTTCATCTTACATGAAGTGTTGTTGCAATGGATGTTTGTTACTTATGTGCACATAACATTTTTAATGTATGTTATTATAGATAAGGCATTTAATATTTCACCTGAATCTCTCAGAGTAGATGCATTTGGAAAATAGGGAAATAAAAAGGAACTATAGATTTTCTTATGCTGATGTCTGTTGGATGCTGCCTTGACTTGAACAAGCACATGAAGGGTAACATAATTAACCTATTTGCAGCTCTTGACAAATGTTCCAAATACATGTATTTTACTCATTGAGCAAAGATTGTTCTGAAAAATGCATCTGAGACATTAAATTTAAAAAAAAAAAATCGAATTATTCATCCTAGTCTAACTGGCCAATAACATATATACTGACACAGAGCAGCTGTGACCATTGCTCTGCCTACATCGTAAGAAACAAGGCTGCTTGCTGCATAGCAGAGGACAGGAATAAGGGACTTGGTACCTGGCTTTGCTCTTTGAGCACTGACTGGACGAGATGGAGCTTCAGCTCTGCTGTCTTACTCAGGTTTTAAATTGATTTCTAAAAAGTCATTTTTCACCAATGAATCCATAAAATATCTTCCAAAATTACACATGAGTGTGTGTTTGTGTAGACACGGTCCTATAGACCATATATTTGCCTGATATGGCACATAAGTGCCTATGTGTTAGTCCTGTGTGTAAATCTTAAGCGTCTTGAGGCAGGAATCTGGAGACTGAGCTGTGAGTTACAGTTCAGACTCTGTTCCCTAGAAATTTAAGAGGGATTTTTAGCAATATCTCAGGAAATCTACTGACTTTTTTTGTTCCTAAGATTTCTTTTTTCCTCTATCAATAGCCATGTGATATCACACTGACAGATTAATAATTAAAGCTGAAAACAATTCCCTGGATGAATTGTGCGGATTTTAATTTCCTTAATATCTGTGCAATAATGGGTATTTTGATCCTTTGATGATGGGAGTATTGAATCTTTTGTAAACAATACAGAAATTATTTTTGCATTAAACATGAGCATTTTTTGATCCCACATTGTGCACCAAAGGAGGTGAGAACTGTTGCCTTTTGCAACATGGGGATGTGTGGATACACTAAGTATCTGTATAAACCTGGGTAAGTATTCAATCTTGTTCAAGGAAGCTTCTGTTTTCAACTTTCTTTGCAGTGTGACACGAATTAAGAGCTGTATATTATGCTCAGTTAGATCCTCTTGATTTGTATTTTCTATGCTGAATGTATTTGAACTGATAGGCATTGAGCATATGTATAGTTTGAATATTTGTGCCTTCCATATACAGCAATGGTTATATTATAATATAATATAATTATAATATATTT